GGTTCCCTACAAGTTCTGTGGATGGCTATGCCTCCACATATTATTGAGATCAGAATATCCTTCTGTAGAGACATGCCCAGGGACTGATTTTCCCTCAATTAGCACTGTGACTGCTGTAGTTATGATCACATATTTCTGAGTCAGACACACACAGAGGGAAAAGCAGTGGGAACCCAGATACAAACCCCCATGCAGGGAGAGGGCGGGGCTCAGGGGTCACTCAAGGCCCACAGATAACAGGGGCTCTCAGGGGAAATGTACAGAGGAGCCTAAGAAGGATAACTTAAATGAGGTACCTATTTCCTCTACCTGCAGAGAAAATGTCTCTGCCACAGACCTCCACATTCTTGTAGCTCAGTGTGTGTATGTTCCTGTATGTACTTTATGTGTATGTTTTTGTGTGTGCTAATACACATGAACTGCTTTGGTATGTTATACTATGTGACAGAACGTCTAGTCTGGTCTGCATTTATTATTATTATTACGAATCTAGTACAGTTTAGTGTCTTTGTGTTGTTCTTTCTTATGTAAATGCATGTGTACTTATTAATCTGAGTGAGTACTTATGAAGGTTTGTCAGTTCTAGTAGATATGCTAATTTGTTCGGAGTATGCATGTGTATATTAATATGACTGTTAGAATACAGATGTCGTAATGTGGGTTTTCTGCTTTTGTATGTTCACATTTCTCATGTATGTGATTATGTGTTTGAAAATATGCATGCATAAATATGTATATATTTTGATACAGGTATTTTGTCCACTCGAACAGAAAGACACTAGAAAAAACCGAAAGGCACAGGGGTTACAACTTTAGGCTCAAATATGAGACTGCCTCAGGACGGGGTGGTGTTTCATTCTGTTGTTGTATTTAGGATCTCTAGAAGTCAGAACTGACTCATCAGCTAACATCAGGATTTCATCCTATGTGTTCCCTGGGGACGTTAATAAAGAAAGGGCCTTAGTGTTTTACAGTTGATTTCACATTTCAGAATGGAAATTCTGAGGTTACAATAATCCGTTTGATAAATCTGTTCAAACTTTATTATTTAATGATCACACTGGTATTTGACACATGTAATACACAGAAGTTCAAGAGTAAGCCACAGTTAATCCTTGCTGCATGTGCCCACCTGTGTGACCCACACAATTGAACACACAGAGTCCTCTTCCCCATTTGACCACTGGACACACTCTCTGTCATTCCTGATTCTATGGGAGATCAGCTAGGTCTTTATTTGCTACGAGCATTAAGCAAATTGGAAGCAGAGGGTCTCACCACTACTTATTTTCTAACAACTAGAACACGGCCCATATATGGATGACAAGGATGAGCACCACCCAGGAAATCCCGTGAGCATCTCCTCCGATGCTCCATTTGCTGACTTGTGAGCAAAAAGTGAATGTAAATGAGGAGAGAAACAATGTCTAAATCACTATTTTGTTGTAGGGGAAAATCATGAATAAAGACACTCAAATAAATGAACAGCAGGAACCCAATAAGTGAGTCATTTCAAGGAAAACTGTTAGAAGATGAAGTGAAATGAAAAATATCTAGTTTTCCTGACCATAGCAAAAGAAGGAGAACCGGAATCTCCTGATCGGAAACCAGAGAGGAGACACCATTGTGCATGTTTTATGAACAACTGCATGTCCACAGTTTTAAATATCAGTGAAATATGGAAATTCCTTGGAAGGCAAGAAAACCAATGATATCCCCATACAAGAAATAGATTTAAAAAAAAGAAATAGGTAATACAGTAGTCCACTGTCATCTTGTGTATTCACACCTTAAGAGAGGAGGCATTGTGAGCTCTAATATCACAAAGGTTGTTGTGTATGTAATGTAAAGCTTATAAGTTCAAAACTACTTTCTAAAAATACTAATAATATATAAAAATTAAAGCAATGCTTGATAAAGAACCTGTTTAAGAGCTCCATTTTCCTTTAAGAGTGCTTGTGTTTCTGTGAAACTGAGGGAGAATTCTTGCTCATATTCGCTACTCCTCTGCTTCTAAATATCAGGGGACATGCAAATGCAGATCTCTGCCTGCTGATAAACCGGCCACAGCCCCTGATGTGAGAGATCTCAGAGGACAGTCCCAGTCTTTGGGGTCTCTGCTGTTTCCACTTGTGCCCAGGAGCTAGTGCACAGGAAACATCATGAATTTAGTACCAACTTTGGCTTTCATTTTGGCCATTGTACACGGTAATCATTTGTAGACCCTGCTGTGTATGTATGTAATTGTGAGTGCCTTAGTTTGTATGTGTGTCGACTAATCATGGTGCCTCTGTGTTTTCAGGTGTCCAGTGTGAGGTGCAGCTGTTGGAGTCTGGGGGCGATCTGAGAAAGCCTGGGGGGTCTCTGAGACTCTCCTGTGCAGCCTCTGGATTCACCTTCAGCAGCTATTACATGAGTTGGATCCGTCAGGCCCCAGGGAAGGGCCTGCAGTGGGTCGCAACCATTAGTCATACTGGTGGTAGTACATACTATGCGGACTCCGTAAAGGGCCGATTCACCATCTCCAGAGACAACTCCAAAAACACACTCTATCTTCAGATGAACAGCCTGAAAGCCGAGGACACAGCCATGTATTACTGTGCAAGACACACAGTGAAGGGAAGTCAGTGAGAGGCCAGACACAAACCTCCCCTGCAGGGAGGACACTGGTCTCCAGGGGGTGCTCAGGACCCACAGACGCTCAGGACCCTCAGGACTCAGGACCCTCAGCCCCAGAAGCAGGTGCAGCTGGAGCTTTACTGCTGGTTTCCTGTGGTGATCTGTGGATTCTTGTAAATCTCAGAGTTTCCCTAGGGAATATCTCTAACTTAAAAATAATAACTCTATGCCTATATTTGATATCTGTGAATTCAACAGTTACATTGTAACAGGAGAATATAGTCTGTCCTACAGCAACAAACAGCCTGTGCCTTAAAGACAAGAAATGCCTCTGTCTGGGGTCCCTGCATCAGAGTTCTGATCACACTCAGTAAACACTCTCTGGTCAGACTCACGGTGAATGTAAAGGTCGCTACTAAGTGTTGGATGACAGGCTGAAAGTTTGACAGTATATTCTTCCATCACCCTTTGTGAGGACAATCATTTGGTCAAAATCCAGATGGTCAGCTTTTTTTTATTGATCTGCTTCTTCAAATGACATATTTTTTTGTTTTGTTGTTTGGTTAGGTTGTTTTTCCTAACCATGTGGACTGTTTTTTTTTTTTTTAATCTTATCTGTAATACCATCTGCAAACCCATAAACTCACCAATTGTCTTTTATTACCTTGGTGCTAATATTTTGTATCTGTCTATTCTCCAGAACCTTTAGACCAAATTGTCAAGACAGACACAAATTTGTCTGTGGAAATTCAGGATTCAGGGAGATCTCTATGGCTGAATGGTATCATTCAGTTCTTCATGTCGCATGCTGTATCTTCATCTTCACAGTCCCACAGAATGTGAGCCCTCTGTTTCTGCTTTCACCCAGAGGTTCCACATTTGTCCTGTTAATCTCCTCACCCTCCTTCTGGTGGCGTTGCTACTAACTTATTGTATGATATCAGTAACTTTTTCATTACTTAATGACACACAACCTTAGCTGGGGAATTTCAGATATTTCAGTATAAGATTCCATTCAAGACTGAAGTTTAGGTGTGAATAACATTATTAATGACGGCGTTCTGGATGGGAAATAACTTCCTGTGTCAAAGGTAATTTGCTTTAGGGCAACACGCACTCTTTCCACACTGGAATGACTCTTGAGTAAACATATCAGTGTAGTTGTCGAAGAAGA